GCCCTCGCCCTGTGAATGTTGTCAAATTGGAAGATGAACGAGGTTTCCAGACTATGTGTCGGCTCTCTTTGTTTCCTCGAAGCTTATTTATACTGCGACGACTGTGCTCACTTAGCTGTGTGTTCCGTACACATAACGCGTCCAAATTGCTCCAACTTAACGACTGCTAATGGCTGTTTTGTTCAAGAATCTTCTTATCGGATCATTTAGCTGTAGCTATTAGTTAACTGTGCTACACTGATCTTTAAGTCGTTAAAATATCCAGCCGTCTAGCTACATCTTTGGTACTCTGACTGGAGCCGGTAATGAAAAATCACAGCGACACACGTTCTTTCAACCCATTCCACACTCTCTTCAGTTGTTGTGGTATTCCCTATTCTACTTGATACCGTCCATGCAGAACTGATAGCAATTTCGTGGCAGGAGTTGGAGAGCAAATCCAAATTGGAATACCGTCAACCAATACTCTCATATACAGTGTTCTGATTGGTCCTCCATCGTGTTCTCCGTTTGTGCTTAGTTCGTTGCTCTTAGGCCGCACAAATAATGTTGTCACGTGACTGAGATTTTCGCACTTTGATTGGTGCAATGGACATGGATCATACTGACTGCGTACTAAATACTATATTGTGGAGCAACTAGAAATGAATTTGTACAACCCCTTCGAAATGTGGTGAGAAACGTTAAAATATTGTCACCCGTGAATATCGTTATCTTTCTCATGTAACATTTAAAATATCTAACGGTAATGCAGGACTCACAAATGTGAGATGTCATCGGTGAGGAGAGTAGACAGCCTATCCACAATTTATCAAAACGCCTGGAACGTTGGGCTGAGCACTTTGAAAGGCAATTTAATCGGTCGGAATTGTTAGATTTCTCGCCGACCAGTGATCGCCCTGCTCCGTGGGCTGTTCCTTTGGATCCACCCTCTCGCTCAGAAGTCGAACATGAGATCAAACTGTTGAAGTTAAATAAAGCCGCGGGACCTGATGACCTTCCTCCAGCCCTTTTCAAATTCGGGGGACCTGCTCTTGTGGATAATTTGCACTAGTTACTAGTGAGACTGTGGGAGCAGGAAACTTTCCCAACCGATTGGAGCCCCTCCATCGTAGTCCCAATCTTCAAAGGAGGCTTACGATCGGAATGCGGCAGCCATAGAGGAATCATTCTGATCTCCATCGCCTCCAAATTGCTTGCCTCTGTCATCCTTCACAGACTGACTGACACTCGTGAAAGCCAGGTTCGGGAAGAGCAAGTTGGATTTCGTCGAGGTCGTAGCTGCATTGACCACTTCTTCACCTTGCGTCAGTTGTTGGAGCACCGTCACATATATTGGCTGCCCACCGTTATCTTGTTCCTCGATATCAAAGGTGCATTCGATTCGGTGGATAGACATGCACTTTGGGACTGTCTACTCAGGAAAGGTGTACCTGAGAAATATGTGAATATTATCCGAGCATTATATGCTCGTAGCTCGGGCAGAGTGAGGGCTTACGGCAGGTTGTCGTTGCCCTTTAATATCTCCAGCGGCGTGAGACAAGGAGGCCCGCTGTCGTCTTTCCTCTTCAACTTCGCTGTTGACGAAGTCATGGATATCGCGTTCACAGGACATGACTTAGAAGGTGTGGAGCTACTCCCAGGAGAACGACTTCTTGATTTAGAGTAGGCTGATGATATTGCCCTCATCTGTGACAGCTCACAAACGTGCCAAGTGGCACTGGACAAATTAGCACTAGCTGCCAGTCACTTCGGGCTTTGCTTCGCACCCTCGAGTTGCAAAGCGTTCCTCCAAGATTGGTCTGGACGGCCTCCTACGCTGACCCTTGGTGGGGATCAGCTAGAAGTCGTTCAAAAATTCAACTACCTGGGAAGTTGTATCAGCGCCCGTGGGATTAAAGATGAGATCACGGACCGTATAGCAAAAGTTCGGGGCGCTTTTGCTAACCTTCGCCCCTTATGGCGCCGGCGCGACATCACTCTTGTCCTGAAGGGTAGAGTGTACAATGCAGCAGTAGGTTCGACCCTATTGTACGGTTGTGAAACCTGGCCGCTTAAAGCAGTGGAACTGAAGAGGCTAGTTACGTTCGACCACCGGTGCCTTCGTAATTTAGCTCACATTTGGTGGGAACACCGCGTGAGTAACGAGCGTGTTCGACGCCTTGTTTATGGCACAGAAAAAGGAAATGAACCGCTCAGCACCGTTATTTCACGGATCAGGCTCCGATGGCTCGGCCACATGTTACATCTATCAGCCTTCCGACTCCCGCGACGTGCGTTGTTTGCGCGCCGGCGATGTGGAGGGACTAAGAGGAGAGGTAGCCAAACGATAACTTGGTCGAGAGGAATGAAAGCCCTCACTTCTGAGCTGGCCTCGGTTGGAGTCTCACTGCTCCCTGGTTGGGGTCCGAAAGACGATGAACACGTTTGGTTGGACACACTTGCTGATATGGCTAGGAGCCGAGCTCAGTGGCGTTCGTGCTGTGAGTTTCTTTGTCCCTCCGCATCACCTTTACCCGCCCTCTGCAACCGCGATCACATTTCTTAGCCTTATATAATTTTGCATAATAATTTTTTTGGGTGCACAGCAGCCGGCTGGTAGCTTACCGGAACGATGCCCATCCGTTACCGGTAGCTCAGCCGGCTGGCACCAGTTGCATTTTTTCTCCTTTTTTCTTTGTATTGCGGCACAGTAGCTGAGGTGTTTCCCACCTCTAGCTAACGTGTATGCTGCTGCTGATGATGATGAGGTGTCATCGTAAGTGTGCAATCGTTCCATGATTTGATTAGTGGTAACAACAAAATCCAACAACGTTTTGAACTGCTTCACCGCTGTGGCCTCTATCACATGTTCAGGCAAACTGTTCCAAATATTTACCACTCTCCGTTTGAAGCACAGTGGGTGGGAAACGCTTCACATCTGGCACCGCAAGTTTGTATATGTGTCCGCGTGTGCTGCATGGCCCTCGTAACTGCAGCATTGGCCTCAGCATGGGGAAGTCACCGAGATGTAGAATACGGTAGGTCATAATGAGCTCGACTCGCACCCGACGGTAGGACAAGGTGTAGAGTTCTACTTTCTCGCACCGGTCTTCATACCCCAAGCCACATAACCTCGGGATGAGCCTGGTAACAACGTGTTGGACCCGTTTGATTTTTTGTGCTTTGCTTCGGGTAATTGAAAAGTAGGCAGGCGTACCGTATTCTAGCATTAGTCTAATGATGAAAGAGAAGAGGTGAGTGGCAACATCTTTAGACCACGTGCCGAAGCTACGTTTGAGCACCCAAATCATGCGCAGTCCGTTACGGTGTAGCATGTTCGTGTTGTCCACGGACTTCAAATCGTAGCGCGAGAGTACACATTGATCCTTCACGGAGGATGTGGGATATAGCGGTTGGCCGTCAAGAGTGTAGGTTCGGCCGTCAGCACCCTTCCCCAGACTCACAAATACAGACTTGGCTGGGTTGACCGGGAGAAGAACTTGTGCAGACCATGTGGACAGGCGGTTGAGGTCTTGCTGTGGTATGCCACAGTCGTCGGGAGCATCGCTTTCTCTCCAAATCTTCATGTCATCCGCAGACGAGGCATACGGCGACCGTAGGAATTGAGGTAGGTCGTTGATGTGGATCAGAAACAGAGTGGGCCCCAGCACAGTGTCTTGAGGCACGCTACTTGTAAAGGGTACCAGTCAGTTAGATGGTTGTCGACCTGTACCCTCCACTTTCGTCCAACAAGCAAGTCGTGAATACACTGGTGCAGTGAGCCACCGACACCGCACATCCTGAGTTTGTGAATGAGAACCTCATAGCTGACTCTGTCGAACGCTTTACTGAAATCGATGAATATCACATCGACAGGCTTCCCCTTGATTATTGCCTGCAACTACTCATGCCTCGTCACAAGCAAGTTTGCAGTGCATGAGCGGCCTTGCATAAAACCTTGCTGTACGGGCGTCAGGATTACTTTCGACTGTAGCAACCGCAGCATTCCTTTTTTCACGATTTTCTCAGCAACCTTTGCCAAAGAGGTATCAGTCAAATTGGCCTGTAATTGTCTACTTTTACATTCTTTTTGCATAACCGAACTTCAAGAAACTCTCTCCTGTCGTGTTGCTAAGGTGCTTCACGCCGACTGTAAATGGTGGGCGAGTTGAGTGAACATGCAGCTGACATTCTGTAAGCTAAACAATCGCCACCGACGCAAAAAATTTTGCCGGTCACGCGAGCTCAATGGATGGTACAGTTGATGTGGGTGGATGAACGCGGCTCGGGCGTCAGCCAAATAGGCATTATAAAAGGGGAACGCATCACATTGTGAGTGAATCAAATTCGTACGTTTCCTAAAAGGATTTTCCATCGACGCAATCACGACATCGTGACATAGGAGAAGCCAACATGCCGAACCCTGCATGCTTTCGGTGTACAACCGGCGATCCCATTGCCTACTTTTCTGCAGATGACAGCAAGTTCGCTGTCTGATAACTGAAGAATGTGAAAGACGGAGTGGCTGGACTTCGTGACGCTGGCCTAGTTGTATGCTCAGCCAATGGCCTACAAAATGGCCATATTAAGACATGCCATTGGTGATGAAACTAGGCCGGTTCATCTCATCTTGCCCAGTAGACGAATTCACTCCGACACTAAACTCATCTAGTTAACTGTGTTCGGTCGACCGCATTCCTGTCACGATCTGAAACGCCAGTATTTCTACCAGTTTATATCTGCGGCGCATTATTTGCACCAACAATTTGGGCAGCTTGTATGATTTTGATGTATCGTTTGTATTCCTACACTTTTGGTATTGTTTTTTGACATAGTCCTTGACCAACACATCTACTTCGAGATAAATATGCGATCGCATATTATACACTCAATCCGTCATACTTTCCAATTACCTTCCCTACGCGATCTATAACATATCTAAATACACCTCATCGAGTTCTCTCCCCGTTTTTATTCTACCTTCTGTACTTGACACGCTCTTGTTTGCACTAACCTAGGTTGCTATAAGCCGTGCGTTGTCTGACGCCGAACTCACTTGTTCCCTGCCGAATGCCTCTTCGTTGACACCGGAACAAAAGCTACGTCTCGCTTGGTCACCTCTAGTCGATCTGCTCGTTAGCGCTTACTACGAAGTCACCGATGGTTTGGCATATTTCCTCGCGCGCAGTGTGCCCGATCACAAAGCAGCGGCGCTCGGCTCACCGGTGCACCACTTATCTTCCTCACAAACTGACGCGTTGAACACCACTGCCTCCGTCTCCTCGTCACCACCTGTCACTGCGAATAATGGACACTTTCTCATCCGCACCTCTGTGCTTCAGACTCTTAACGAACGTGCGTCTGGCGATGGTCTCAATGGTGCGGACCATTGGATTCATGAGGCAAGGCGCAGACTGACTCAACTCTCCACACCTGCCATCGAGGTGAGTTGTTCCCATGTGTGTCACATCTGATGTGTAACCTGGAGTTATTCACGCGAACATTTATCATACCTCATCGAACAGCATTTTCTTCCCTCTTAACCAGTAGTATGGTGCAAACTGTACTCTCCTCTCCCCCCCCCGCCCCCAGAAAAAGAGCTCACCGCATTTTCGCCACATCTTCCACCGGAGATTCGACTGATTAGAGGTTACATTGCGCGGTATACTTTGGATAGTGCCGAATTGCTGTCTCTCCCAGTGAACAATTTTAGCAGTCAAAATGTTGGATAGCCGGCGCATTGGTCGCACTGCTCTAATGTTCCGTCATCTGGCTGTCCGTAATACCTTCAAAGGTGTTAATACTCCTAACTCACGACTATGTTCATTACCCCACATCCTCTGCTTTTAGTAGCTTGTGCTCAGTGTAGGAGTGACGATTTCACGATTTTTTGTTTGTCAAATAAGACTTCCAATCCTGGTTTATACTCAGCACATCGTATTTTGGTAGACCCTAGCGCTTTTAACGTTCCACTTTAGTAACAGTGGAGCAAAGTGAGAAATTCTGATTAAAATAACTTATAGATGTTAGATATCATACGCTCGCCTCACTTCACTCTACCACGGGTTCGTACTCGTTTGCACTCATCAGCTGCGACTCAAACCTAGGACTACAAATCGAAGTGTTCACTCGTACGCCACTTGGCCACGGACAGCGCTTGTAGCAACAATTCACATCTTAGTAGTGGCCATTCTGAGACTTACGTCCTGTGAATGAGGTTCGACGCAGTCTCAATTTTGATTGCTATTCGCATTGAGATGAATCTCAGTCAGATTGGTCACTTTTACAAAACCGATTGCAAATTGCATTGTTGCGGACTGGCAATACCCAGCTTCCGTCTTCTTCTGATACGATCCCAGCGGTCGAATCAATCTAAATCCACTTCAAAATTAATCCTAGTCCAGATTGGGATTGTGCGTCGCAATCCACTCACACCACAAGTGCTCTCGACTGATTTCTCCACGTGAACTGATTTATTTGAATGATTTTCGAGATGCATTTGCCCATTTGCATGACTAACCTATAGACTCAAGGAACAGAACAAATGCGCGTTGATTTCCTGATCGAGCGGCGACGGATGTGAGCCTAGTTACGGACGTGGCGCTCCTCGAGTAGCCATCGGTCTGATAACACTTTTTGGCAAGTTTCTTTATGTCTCTTAACTTTCCCTCAACTTACCGCTCCACATCGTCAACCGGCCCGATGTAGCGGGGTTAATTAATCCCCGTTGCCACATTTGTTTTGTTAACCGAACTTGTGATTACTATGCCCCGTGATCTAAAAAGCTTCAACTACACGGCTGAGATTCATTGCCGCACATCGACTGACACAAACGAACATCAGTGAGTAGTAGTAGGGAATCTATTGTGTTTTTGTGAAAATTCATCATAGCTAAGCTCAACCAGACAGCCTTAGCGACTTTGATGCCACCTCGATTGGTAACGGCTTACAAAGGAAATCGTGGCTCCGGAGGCAAGCCTTGTCCTCACGTGATTCTCTGCTAGGCAAATGCAGATTCAATCGACTCTGTCTATACAATCGGCCTCTTAGGCGTTGTTCAGTTTCCTGTTAAATGACTCTCCTGCGCATTTCTGTCACCATACAACAACGGCAATTTCCTTATTTATGGTATTTCACCCAAGGGATGATAATTTCCAAGCACATATACACCATCTACTAGAGTTTATTCGATACGATTGACTACTAAACACTGTACGGAAGCAGCAAGAGAGATATTTTTGTTGCTACATCAAAAATCCCGCTGGTTTAGTGACCTATTATGTTGGCAACCATTCCCAGCACCGACTTCTCTTCCACTACGTGCGGTTGCAAGTTCTTTCCTAAATTTATTATTATCTATTATTATTGCCCGCTTCAAATCCCTTACTACAAGCTTTACCAGTGTCCTCGCGTGCTACTTGGTGCGCGCATATCGGGCAGCGGCCTCAACATACTGTAATTACGAAGATGTAATATCCGGTCCGCTATGATGAGGTGAACCCGCATTCGACGATAGGACAAGGCGTAAGCTTCTACCCTCTTGCACCGGTCTTCGTAAGGCATACCTCATAAGGTGCGGATGAGCCTGGTAGCCACATGCTGTACCTGCTCAATTCTTTGCATCTCGTCCCGGGTGATAGAGCAGTGTACTGATGAGCCCTACTCAAGCGCAGAAGCCTCGCTTGAGCGCCCAAAGCATGCAAATTCTGTTTTGATAAAGCATATTCGTGTTGTCCACGAACCTTGCGTCGCAGCATAAGAGTCGGTTGAAGCATAAGATGCAACGCTTGACCGACCACAATGTAGGTTCGACCGCTGGCGGGGCTGTTGGAGACGAGATTTTGATGCGCATCTCGAGAGCACGCCTCGCTTTTTCTAGGCTGAGGCACTTGTGGCGTCGCCACGACATTCGTCTCTCCATCAAAGGGCGGATCTATTGTGCAACTGTTCGTGCTGTACTGTTGTACGGATGCGAGACCTGGTCCATTCGCAAAGATGACTTGCGCAGGCTATCCGTCTTCTAGCACCGCTGTCTGCGGTCCATTGCCCGTATGTGGTGGCAGCACCACGTAAGCAATGTGGAAGTTAGACAGCGTGTCTTGGGGCATGGAAGCCATTCGCTCGAGGGGCTCATCTGACTGCATCAACTGCGGTGGTTGGGACACGTATTGCGCATGCCTGTCCAGCGTTATCCACGTCGTGCGTTGTTTGCGGTTGCTGGACAGGGCTGGAAGAGACAGTCTGGTGGACAGCCTACAACATGGAGAAGCCGCCTGAAAAAGCTGACGAAACAGTTGGCCTCGGCCGGTTGTTGCCGACTACCTGGTTGGGGTCCGAGAGATGCGGATACTTGCTGGCTGAAGACCTTGGAAGTCATGGCTCAAGATCGATGTCAATGGCGGACGTGTGCATCGGTTTGTTGCAGTGTCCCTTCTTCCTCCCCTTAAAAAAACAAACTGAAATTTTTTCTTCAAAAACTGAGTGGTAAACTAAACAAAAAAAGCTTTTGTTGTTGTTGCTCTTCTCTTATTATTCATACTGCCTTCCTATTCAGCCATGATTCCGATGGCACAATATCTGTACCACAGATTGTGCATTATATATATATATATATATATATATATATATGTTGCATTTTTGATGCTTCTTCACCGCAGTTGGGCTAAACCAACTTACACTTAAACTAGGTCTTTTTAAGCTGGATAAATTTCATTCCGCTTTATCTGGTTTGTTCTGCCTCCCTGAATAATGTTCTATTAACTGGCCACGTTGCTTACACTAATTGCGCTTATCTTCGGTAATTTTGTTGCGTTTGTAGCATTTTAAGTAACTTGTGGACATTTCTTACTTATCACGGATTTGTTGCTAATCAAATTACTTCGTATGGTAATTTAGCGAAGAGTTATGCCACCGTATCTGTATGCATTATTGGATTTATTTTATTTCAGCTTGTCGTTTAAAGTGAATGGCTGTTGTTTGATATCCCTGGTATGGTTGCGCTTGATGTGTATGTTGACAAGGTGCCTACCTGTCTATTACCCACTACATCGTTCATACTGGCTCCAGGAGACAGTTGGTCGTTGCTGGAGGGGACGGGGTGCACGGTCCTTGTGGCCGTGTTAGGCTCGAAGAGTGGTTCCATGCACTCAGTGTGGAGCGGACTACGGTCCAGCCACCGTCTTGTGTGCGTTTGATTCCCAAATACAGTGTGCTTGTGTTTGCCTGTGAAGGAGTGTGGGCCGGCTCCGTTGATGAAACGTGGTTCCCATCCGCATGCCTCCCGGTCTTATTCCTTCGGGTTTACACTGGATATGGGGTATGTGGTTGGAGCTGTGGGTGGTGCAGCGCAAGCCATCCATGGTCCCTCTGTAGGCGCAGGCGTCCTGTGGCTTGCCACAGTGACAGGCAAATCTGAAACCGGATGCCGCCAACCATATATAAATGTATATATGAACATAGTCGTGAGTTAGGAGTATTAACACCTTTGAAGGTATTACGGACAGCCAGATGACGGAACATTAGAGCAGTGCGACCAATGCGCCGGCTATCCAACATTTTGACTGCTAAAATTGTTCACTGGGAGAGAAGATAGCAATTCGGCACTATCCAAAGTATACCGCGCAATGTAACCTCTAATCAGTCGAATCTCCGGTGGAAGATGTGACGAAAATGCAGTGAGCTCTTTCTTAGAGATAATAGCAGGAAGCTTTTGACCCCCAGTTGTGCTCTCCTACCAACTAAGGCAAATTGCAGTGTTCTTACACAATTCCCTTAAGCTGTGTTGAAGTCATCGATCTCTTGCATCCATCCTTTGAGGAAGAATCTGTGAGTGAATTTATCTGACCTTCACTTACTGACCTGTCTCACATGAGAGGGGCTCTGAGGCTATCCTACGCACACCGTATCTGTTCACCAGATGTTGCAACAGTTTTGCCATCGCAATGAGGCTGGACCTTACCGTGGTGCGATGGTTTGTGTGCCTCAGTGATCCATTGAGCTATGCTGGGTGGTGATTTTTTTGCACCGTCGAAGCCACTCGTACCAGATTGGTCAATGGTTAGAGGCCAGACAAACTCAGCCTCCTGGCCCTCCAGGTTGGGGGTTGGAATGAGAGTGGCACCTTATTCCTTAAAACAGACTCCTTGTAGCCCAATGCCAAACCTGCTGCCTTGTGGACAGGTTTTTGAATCAAAGGCTTTGGTTGAGAACCCTAATCGTTCTCCTGTCTAGGCCTGGGCAACCTGACAGTATCCTGCCCACGCAATACTATGAATCTCACTTCAAACCAATCTCTGATGCTCTGACCACCGCAGAGGATAATCAACGCTGCCCTGTCTGCTGCATCGAGCAGGGTGGATAGGGGTTTGGATGCTACTGCTCAAACCTTCCCGTCTTCTTATTCCACCTCTTACGCTTTTTCACCCTTATCGTCCCGTTCCAGCTTCACTTTTATCCCCCCTGTTTTCAACCCCCCAATTCTCGGCCCTCCCAACCTTGCTTCAATAGTCGCTTGTCTTTTACTTTCAACTCACATGTGAACGCGGAGCGTCACTCCTGCTCTGTCGACAAGTCCATGTCCAACAAAGCGGTCCACCCCAGTTCATCGGCTTCCATTTGGAGCCCTCGATCCTCCTTCAGGTTGGCATGCCTCAAGTACGCATACTGCTGCAGATCGGTCAACAGGCAGCACTTGCCCGATTTTTAGAGACCCTCTCGATCGATATCTGCTGCTTATCGGAGACCCGCATGCAAGACTCGAGCTCTGTGCTCACTTTGCGATCCCCTTCAAGTGACGCAAGCAGTATTTTCTCATTGCGCCTATCCGGTGACGATGCAGCTTCGAGCACCGGCCAAGCTGGCGTTGACATTACCCTGAGTCCGCGGGCTGAAGCTGCTCTGGTTGATTGTATTCCAATCAGTAGCCAGATGTGTACGGTCCGATTAGCTGGCTCATTCAAAGCGTCGAAGTCGCGTGAGACTAAAAGGTGTCTGTACATCATCGCTGCCTATGCGCCCACAAACTGTAGCGATGATTCGGTAAAAAACGACTTCGACCGCCAACTTACCGAGCTCCTTCTCCACAAAAAGCACGGTCACTGTTGTGTTGGCGAGGGATCTGAACACTCAAGTTGGAAAGTTGTCCACTGATGAAATGCATCTGGGCGGTTACCACGGTGTAGGCTCCCGTAATGATAACGGTGAGCGGTTACTTCATTTGTATGAAGATGTCCGCTTATTTCTTGCGGGCACTAACTTCCGACACAGTACCCGTCGGAGGGTGACTTGGCGCCCACCAGCCTTGGACGCAAATCGATCACATTGCGATAAGCTGCCGGTGAAGAGGCTGCATCTAAAACTGTCGCTCGATTTGGAGCATATTTGTGGACGCCGACCATTCACTTGTATGTGCTGACATGTGGATGCGTTATGGCGGACGCCCACGACGACGTTGTGAGCGCATGGACACTAGCCAACTGACGAAACCAGCTGTTCTGAATGCCTATCAAAGTACGCTGACATGCGAGTTGACTAAGCGCTCACTGGTGACAGTTGAATGTCACTGGTCACATGTTCACCAGACCTTACTAACAGCAGGCAAATCCTCACCTGGTGGGTCTAATCACCAACTTGGACATTGAATCTCTTCGCGGTCTCTGGAATTTATCGATGCTCGCCGGTATATTCCGGCTGGAAGTGAACACAATGTAACTCGCAAAGTTCTCCGGGCAAAACTTCGTGCGTATCATGGTCGTGTCTTCGTGCGCCACATTAGCACTGGCTGTCAGCCGCCTCGGGCTTTGCTTTGCACCCTCGAAGTGCAAAGCTTTCCTCCAAGATTGGCAGAGATCGCCTCCTGCGCTGACCCTTGTTGGGGATCAGCTAGAAGTCGTTCAGAAATTTAACTATCTGGGAAGTTGTATCAGCGCTCGTGGGGTTGAAGATGAGATCACGGACCGTATAGCAAAAGCTCGAGGCGCTTTTGCTAACCTTTGCCACTTATGGCGCCGGCGCGACATCACTCTCGCCCTGAAGCGTAGAGTGTACAATGCAGCGGTACGTTCGATCTTACTGTATAGTTGCGAAACCTGGCCCCTTAAGTCAACTGAGACTAGTTACGTTCGATCATCGGTGCCTTCGCAGTTTGGCTCACAACTGGTGGGAACACCGCGTGAGCAACGAGCGTGTTCGATGCCTTGTTTATGGCACAGGAAAAGGAAATGAACCGCTCAGCACCGTTATTTCACGCATAAGGCTCTGATGGCTCGGTCACGTGTTACGCATGCCAGCCCACCGGCTCCCGCGACGTGCGTTGTTTGCTCGCGGGGGTGTGGATAGAAGAAGAGGAGAGGTGGCCAAGCGATGACTTGGTCGAGAGGAATGAAGGCCGTCACTTCGAAGCTGGCCTCAGTCGGAGCGTCTCGGCTCTCTGGTTGGAGTCCGAAAGACGATGAACATGTTTGGCTGGTTACGCTTATTGATATGGCTAGGAGCCGAGCTCAGTGGCGTTCGTGCTGTGAGTTTCTTTGTCCCTCCCCATCCCTTTTAGCTTCCCCTACCAACCACAATCTCATTTATTTGCATTTATCATCATTTGCTTGTTACCTTGTAGCCGGCTGCTAGCTTCCCGGAACGATGCCTATCAGTTACTGGTAGCTCAGCTGGCATGCAACCGTTGTATTTTTTTCTTTTCTGTATTGTGACACAATAACTGAGGTGTTTTACACCTCCAGCTAACCTGTATAACGATGAATGATGATGATGATGCAGCAGTTTTGGATGCTCAGTCTCGTCGCATTGAGAAACCAACTCCCTACCTCCGCACCACGCGGTCCTACTCTCCTTTCGCTTCTGTGCTACCGTCTGAGGAGATGCGTTACTCTGTCTACTGCTCAATCGTGGCTGATTGGAATCACTTGGGAGTATTTTCTTTTCACTCTCTTTCAGTTTTTCTCCCGCCTTGCATCGTGGTTACGCCAGTCCATTTAAACTATGAACCTGTGTTGGCGCCATCGAAATGCACAGCTTTTTCTACTGTCAGGTTTATTGTCAGGAGTGCTACGCGATGTACATACGGAATCTTTGGTATAATTGATTTGCGTTTACTTATATTCGCTTCCAAGTCAGGTTAGTCTCTCATGCGTCCGGAAAAACACCACACGGCTATTTCATCCCATCCAGACTCGCCAGTAGTGCTCATCCCTCATCTCTGCCAGTAATCGAACCTACTGACTTTCAACATCACTGTCTTAAGCCACTAACTAGCGGATTATGTCACTTGGCTATGGGTAACCGTATCTGTAGTGTTATAAACTAACTACGATATAACTGGCTCATCGCCCAATGTCTTGAAAGTTGCCAACATTACAGTGGATGAGATTGGTCCCAACAACCATGACTTCCCATAGCAGCCGGTATGTACAACTTGACTGCTGCGTCGCACATATCTGCTGATATGGGAAGTCGTGGCCTTTGAGTCCAACTCTGTCCACCGTAGCTTTTACAACTTGGATAGCAGTGGATCATGAATCACGTTCTATGTGATTTAGATTGTACGTCACAACTTTTGTTGCCGTCACCCATGGTGCTGCGTCCGGTCCCCAGTGGTGCCGAGGAATGCGCACTATTGACCTGTCTCGATAAGACGAAATGGCTGTCGGTTGCTTTTCCGGACACATGGGAGACTATCTGAGTTGGAAACTAGTCCAAACAACCGTGAATTACACATGTCCAAGGCCATTGTATCCACAAAAATGCATTTCAGCTCCCTTCTCTTGAGCATGTCTGTACGAAGCACCTGCACAGATCGGTGTACTTAGGCGTTCGACGATCCAAACCCTATGTATCCGAATAAATGTTGACACTGCCTAGCAAGGTATCGGACTCGACCATAAGCTGAACATTCTGGACTATACAGTTCACTTTTGTCAATTTTTACGTAGTCCTATATTTTTTCAGACGTCAGTGTTTTCGTGATACGCGAATACACGTGCAGCACCGCTTGCACTCTGTTTCTGACATGTGGTTTACAACGGATTCCTTGGAAGCTTTTAGCATACCATTGCTACCATGCTCAAATGGAGCTCTACCTGTCCAGACCAATAACTTCTCATTTCCACATCTAGCTTACTCATGGGATCGCCGCAACCGTAAAATGAACTGAGAAGTCTCGTGTAGTTTCATTTTGCTAGGCGCGATGTTTAACAATCACCTCCACTCATCAGTGGATTTGACTTCTCTACACGTGCCCGATACACTTCATAATCACTGTTCTTCTTCCCCGTTCCTGCCAACTAATTGGTCCACCTTCTTTCATTCTTTTGTCACACGCAGGATCTGTGCATCGACGTGTACGATGAAGCTGAAAGACGTCTAACCAACACTTTCGTAGAAAATGTGGATCCAACCGTCTCATTACACAAAGTCAATGGTTTCGCCGCTACCGGAACTGCCCAGTCCGACTTCGCTTCCCCATCACACAAGCTCGCCAACGGATCCTGTGGCGTGGATCGAAATTTGACCTTGTATTTCCTTCCACCCAACACAACTTACTCTTCAGTTCGCAATCAAGCGCGGCAAAAGTTGGGTCGTCTGTCCACAGTGGAATTTCACACCCTTGTGCTCGATGTCCTCGTAGAGGTGTCTGCGCATTTACTTCCACTTTTCCCCCCTCTTCGTCCTCAGCACCATAACGCAGTGCCCGCCACTAGTCGGCACCACCCTTATTCCACATATTTCGCAGTCACTCCTTTGGAAGAACTTCCCGTATCGGTCTCCAAGCGATTGACTCCGTTGCCACCTCCTCCACTAGTGGAGCCCAGACTGTTGGGTTTGGGCTCCCCCACTGAACAACCAACTGCCCCATTGACTGCAAATTCCAGTCGCCCGAGCAGTCCTGAACTGGATCCGACGCAAGATGTTTCGCCAAGCGCGCTCATCAACTCCGGCAGTTCGAATGACAAGATTGTCTGTCGGAACGGCGATCGACGAGATCGCAGCCGTGGCACTGATCCGGTTTATGACCAGGTAATTGCAATTTCAACTGTGGACTCTATCACTACCAAACATAATCAAGCGGCTTTCGAATTTTCTTCTTTGACCTGTCACCGGTACATATTAGATAAGTTTTAACCCTGACTGAACTCATTTGTGATGTATTCCACTTAAAAACCATTTACCTTCCTGTCTACCCCCTAAATAACTGCAGTTTTCTCCATCTGGTATTGTGGCCACGCCGTGTAAACTGGATCATTGGTATTCAAATTTGTTGGAGAGCAGTATCCACCCAGCGAACTGGTGCCGCAGTCGATCCTTGGTGATCCTTGGTCTCAAAGGTCGTGTTTCCAAGTCCACACTAATTGCCGTCTTACTTTATGGGAGCGAGAATTGGCTCCTTCGCTCTGAGGATCTGTGGCACTTTCAAGTCTTTGATCATCGTTGCCTGCGAAGCGTTGCTGGTATCAGGTGGCACAAGCGTGTTTTTAACCATGATGTGCATATGCGAGTGCTAGATAGTGCTAATCACGCTAGTTCCTTAGACTAACCGGCAGCACTGAATTAGTTGCGTTGGTTTTGACACGTACTACGTATACCTGGTCACTGCTTACCGAGGAGGGCCTTGTTTTATTTACCAGATGTGGCGTGGCGCAAAGCTCGAGGTGGGAAAAACTTGACTTGGCAGTGGGTAGTGAAGTCTTTGACGACTCAATTTAATGCCGTCGGTCCGTTTCGTCTTTCAGGCTGGAGTCCACGAGACTCGCCTTGTGCTTGGCTCTAGACTTTACAGGACATTGCTCGCAGTCGATACCAGTGGCGTATCTGCTGCCGTCTTCTAGTCGGACTGTTTGTTTAAACTGTGTTTTGTGCTGAGTACTCTACTTTGTAATGGCTGATTATGACGCCATGATGACAGTGAAAGCCGTAAAGAAGCTATCCACTGATGCCGCCTTATTGCACCAAAGCCAGCTGTTTTTGACCGTGGGTTGTTGACAAGGTGTATGCGCTTTGACTCTGAGTGTTTGTTTAGGGCATTTCAGTTTTCCGGTAAACCTCTCTTCTCTTCCTTATTGTTCCTGGTTCCGCATGTCACCTTGGTTATATGGCAGCGAAGCACCAGTTCAAATGGTTGATGTGCAGCTGTTGATATTGAATTTATTCTAATATTACATCCACTAAGATGACATTCTGAAAACCACCTCACCGCTCTACGACTGACTTTAATCCCATGCTCTGCGGTAAAGTCGGGATGGACGCTTCTCCTTAAACACTAGATACTACCTCCTTGTAAACCCATTACTTTTGCTCCCATTTCATCGTTGTTTTGCTGGGCCATCAAGTTATGGCAAACGCAACTTTGAAAGACCGTGGATCCCCGCCCTCTCAAGTCTGTTTGAACGTTCTATTAAGCGTCCGATCATGTTGGGTCACAAACCTTAGCCTTTAAAAGGCGAACATGCGCAAGAGAGGCCACATCTATTCACATACTAGTTTTCCACAGTGATTCTTGACGAAACACACACACAAAAGATGTGCGAAATATGGCGCTTAGCGCAACGCGAATATGCTCGCAACTACGCACACGTAAGTGTAGCTAAATCCACCCACTTATTGACCTACCTTGTCATTATTGCCCGTAGATTTCTCACGATTTTCTTATTACTTGTTTTTGCCAACAATTCGATTCATTCATCCGATTCATTCTGGCGGATCCGAGATCATTTATCAACTGTGGTTCCTCAAGTCATTCTTGCTTTCACTACAAATTCGTTGGTTCGACTATGTATAACTTGGTGTATCAGTCATGTTGCAGTGTTTGTCAGCGATCTTTTGATTGTTCTATTATCGAATCTGTTTGTACCCTTGATTCTTCTGAGGCAGTGCGGAGATTCGTCTTCTCATTATAACATTTGTGCACTTAAGTATGGGTGTTGAAGTCTGGACGCTCTCAACTGTCGTTGTTACGACTGAGGTAGTCCACTTTACATGGTTTTCATGCGGACGTACTGGTTTTTCGGAGGGTGGATTCGAATCCATATCCGCATATCTCGAAATACCGTCCGGAAACCATTCTGTTCACATGAAGATGTGGGGAGTTATCTTACGTCAATCATCGCTATCCCTCCCTCTCCGGCGTATGCCTAGTAATTGCGTATCAGACACATCTTTGTTGAAAGGCACTTTGTCTGTACTGCTGTGAGTGTGTATGTTCGTTATGCGACAACGATTGTGCCGTTTTGCTTGGATCCACCTGAAAATCGCAACCATTCTGTTTTCTGATTGTATTGTTTCAGTACCACTAGCTGTTGCGTGTGTATGTCCGTTGCCAGCCAGCATCCTGTCGCTGTTTTCGAGACAACCATTTTTCCACTATTCGTCAATGTGAGCAGAGAATGAAGCGCCTTGACTGCATTGTGGATTTTCGAGTGCTGGAAAAAGAAAATCATTCCCATTACACCGGCACACTGTGTTGATGCTTTGCTGTCTCGCGACAACCACTAGTTGATCGTGGACTGCGGATACTGTGTGGTCGCTCTCACTTGCGGAGATTCGCACCGGCCATTGGCCTTCTCCTGGTGTTGGTGCAGCATACGCCGCTTCAGTGGTTTTCCTTTCAATGTTGCTTATCTCCGCAGTAGATTGCGAGGTGTTCGCATTTTTCTCTCCTGCCAACTGCTAACTTTTGGCGTGCCGGTTTGCCCCATCAACCGAAAGTTAGCGCATACAACCTAGGAATGAATGTATCACTGGCCTCTTGTGGTGCATACATCTGTATCCGGACTGGTGATTTCACTCATCCTTCCAGAATCCTCAGTTGCTGCTCCAACGCGCATCACTAAGTCTGCGTAATCAGGTCTCGGAAGCATCGCGCGCAAACACAATGACTTGTGGAATGAGGATCAGTATCAGGAGAGAACAGAATCCAGTCTTATGTCTTCATATCCTACGCAAACATTCAGAAACACCACATCTACGCCTTATTAACAACACTTAGTCCTACATAGCAGGAACTTTCGTAAAAGTAGGGTGTCGTCACCGAAATAGCCCCTTTGCGGTTTTCACTGCTTGGCTTCCTAATTAGGCATCATCCTCTTGATAAATCAGCCTCAGAAATACTAGGAGACGTTAGCAGACACGCCACTGGTGCTTTCTCGTAGATTCTCGAAGCATGCATGCGAATTCTAACCTGGAAAGTGAGACGAAACATTATTATTCATTTCAATCGTCAACGACCTAATTTCTCACATCGAATCGACTTCCGCTCCTTCCCTAATCTTGTTTCATTCGTTTACGGTCCTTTTCTTTCTCTTTAAATCTCTACACATTCGCTGACGCTCTGTTACGCTTTTTGTGCAAGTGTTTTGCATCCACCCAGATGGGATTCCCTAACCTTTGAACACATTATTCCGCCCACTGAAGCTCGTGTACATTGAAATAGCTCCTATTCAATACTTAATGAGCGATTATCCCTAGGCTTTTATTTATGTGACTGTATAGCTTGACTCTAGAGTCCTGCATCCCCGTAACCTGATCGCCTACCAGGGTGTTAATCCGTTCCACTGGTTTTTCCGACGGATATCACCGATAAACCTTAGGTATATGATTTATCTCACTTGAACATATGCATTAGTCATTTATGCTCTTCTCGAACTCTCGTTACACGTGTTTCTTCTCTTTTCTGTCGAACTATATCTGAGTGGCTGAAGTGTACTTGACGCCTGACCTCCGATACGCATGCCTAATTGCTAGGTCCGCCAGGATACGGCTGGGCTATGACGGGGTTACATCATCGTCGTGGCGGCGCTAGTAGCAACGGTTGGTTGCCGCATGGAGAAACTTATCGTCCAGCCACAACCTTGTATTCGTCTGATGCGCATCTATGATGTCCATGCTAACGCTCACGCTGTTATCGCGTTATAGATCCTGGGGCGCGAGTATTGTGTCATAAATCACCCATAGCCGCTTAGTTAATGCGAACTTCTTGCGATGAATGGTAGTTAGTTACATGGATAAGTAGCTTTGGAAGTAAATATTATTCCATTTCTTCGACACACCACTTGTTGTAAACCAAAGAGTAGAGCACACTTGTAAGGCCTTAAGATGCGAACCGCATACCACTCACTCGGATGGATTTTTTCTCTCATATCATGCTTCATGTGACAACTCAGGGAAGCCGTACATGTTACCCACATCACAGCTTCGCATGCGGTGCGTGTCGCAACTATTCGATCCCTAAGAAGACTGTACCTGCGTAACATACTTGTGATGTGGAACCACCGACAACTAGGGAGTCCACTTTCCCAGCAGAATTCTGTCTGAGCGACCACGCATTTTATCACGCCCATCACTGACTGTGGATGTGCCGGAGCCCAAATCGAGGGACAAGGATAGAACACTAAGTTGATATACACATCTGACTTGATTCCGTTTTTTCACTTAATACTGAGCCCTAATATCCAGGGGCAGAGTAAAATGCCCGTTCGTAATGACAATAAGAACACGGTCACTTTCTCTATCATGAATGCGAGCCCAGCGTTATCACAGGTGAATTGCGCTTCCAAAGACATGAATGGATGTGATTGGGCCCAATGATTGCTTCAGCTGTTGATTGCACGGATTAGGAGTGAAGGGAAACAAAGAACCATTAATGTTGTTTAAAGTGCTAGTTGGATGAGCAATATTCTCGCTCAACACTGGTTGAATGTTTTTCCTCTCCCTCTAGCCCGGTCTCTCCACCGTGTCGTTTTCTCAAATCACTGATCACTATCTAGCATACCTCCTCGTCTGGGAGTGAGTAACCCCTACGTCGTTTGCTTTGTCTACCTCCTCCTTACATTTTGCTCCGGTGTCCAGATGAGTCATCCAAAACTCGAGATGTGCATTCGGCCCTGTTCTTCGTCCGCCCTTCTGGTCTCTGTTTCGCCTTCACTTTACTCAGGCATCAACGCTGTCCATCTGATTAACGGCTTCCTTGTCTGGTCGTCCACCCTGTCAAGTCGAGCTGGACCGAGAGACACACTGGTCTTAGTTATTTCGCCCCAACTCTCGACGCTTTCACACGTTCACTGCGGACCGGAATGTTCAAACATCTCTATGTGCTTAGACAGTTGTCTGCATCAACATGAGGCTGACTCACCTTCTTCACATAAAACTTATTTTCTTCCAGCCGCCCAAGTGAACGATTGGATCTATCAACCCAGCTTCCAGGTTTCCGGTCCGGAGAACTGTGACCACGCGTCACAATCCTTAACAGTGACAATCATCTCTTCGTGGTATTGGGATTTTGTTAGAAACTTAGACGTCAATTTAAGTCACCCACTTCCCTCACGGGCCGAATCTGCGTGCGACCATACGTTAAGGCCTCCACTTGTCGCCATATTGTTGTCAGTGCAGTTTAATGTTCCACGGTCATGCGCTTGCTCACTGAGCACATTCAGCGGCTTCCTATGTTTCATCACCGTGGACAACATATCACTACGGGTAGCTAGCGGAGCACCCAATTCGGGTCCACTCAGTTTGCCCCGTGACGTCGTACTGGCCAGACTATTCGTTTTTTCCCATTACTATTCCCCATATGCCTTGACGTATTTCGCATGTCTAGAGTGCTCCACTTTGAACCAAGCCCTACGGCAAACAGGCAATAACGTAGCTATGCATATAGTTTATTTATGGACAACGCGAGGTGTATCCAGCTAAAAGCTTGATCATGATTTTTACATTCTACTGCTTCCGTAGCATGTCAAAGCAAAATAACATAGTATGTGTTTGCAACAGCTTACAAAGCAGAGATGCAAACTTTGCCGTAAGCAGCATTGTCAACATTGCGTAGAAAACGCACAGTGTATAGTTGAGAAAATAAATAAGCCACTTCTTGATGAAGGTTTGAATCGATTTTAAATCAACGCCACGTTTTGCAATTGATCCGATCCCATCACATAAATGGTTTACGGAGATGAATTGCTTCATCAATTTTGAAAAACGCGATAAGAAAACAAAGGCCGAAAGATGCATACATTTCGTATTGTGTCCTCAGTACCATCAATAATAACCGGTGTGCAATTGTGTATTTAAGCATGAGGTGTAACGTGAATGAACGGTCATTAAATTTTGTTATGTTGTGTAGTCCCTTGTATCAGAAGTACGATAGTAACAATTCTGACAGGAGACATTAGGGGGGATTTCTACCGAATTGGCTCAAGAGTTTTCCTAGGTGATTGCGCTTTATGTCCATCAATGATGCAAGGGTGGGTTGAAGTGTTCATCGGCCTCAACTACATTGCCGTGGTCAAATTTGTCCAACTATGCTCCTCCCAACACTGACACTGAAATCAAACTTGTATTTGGACTACCCGCTCTGTGGTTGGATTACGATAAGCAATCTCTACTGAGACCTCGGTTCACTTTGAGTTAATCCTCGGTCATTCCGGTCACAAGGACCGTATCCGAAACCGAGGTATTTCGGTGTTGTTCCTTCCAAGTAGTTTCCCCGCAGTCCTGGCATCGGTGTTGCAGCGCTCAGCTTCTGGCGATGTAGAAGATCTGGACTATGTAACAGTCCTCTACGATACATAATGACATCCTCATCGGTCCAATACTGATTCCCAGCGAGGTGTTTCTTTATGTCTGAGAACAGAAACTACTGAACTAGTGTCAAATTAGGTGGCTAGGTAGTGTAGTCAGCCAGTTCAGATCCACGTCGATCATTGAAGTTTTTCTCTCTCGTTTCAACTAGAGACTGTTCCCTTGTAGGACCAAGCCACAATGTACTGAAGTTGTGCCTATTCGTTGACTCAATGTGTGATATAAGGCAGTGAATTAATGGATTGGGTTTGGGACGATCAGATGTTTTCATCCAACATCTTTGGTTCTAAATTTCAGTGTCTTTGTCATGATTGGGGGACCCCGAAAGTGTTATTAGCGGGACGATTTTCGATTCGGTGCTGCAACTAAACTTTTCCCGAAGAGCATCCAGTCTTCTCGGGGTACAGGGAAGAGACGCGAAGAAAAGATTCAACGTTTCAGTTTGTGAAGATATGGGTATAAAAGTTTTACGGGTGTTGGAAAGAATAAAAATGGGACCATGAATACCGGTTATTTTTCCCAAACTATAACGAAATAATATATATCGTAAAACCGAGAAATGATTTCGAATCCAGGAGTGTAGTACCGTGTTTTCGGGCGTACCACACCCAATAACCATCATACTAACTTTTAGTACGCGCTCCTATCATGGAAGCGACCGAATGTGATGAAATCCATTCTTTGTGTACTCTCGGTAATTTCCACCTCGGACGCCGATTAATAGTTCGTCGTTTCTAATACTACCTCCTCACTTTGTTGGGACACTTTGGAGTCTGATGCTTTGCCTCATTTCTCACCACCGCATCCTCCAGTTCCCCCCCCCCCGCTTTCTTATCGCTTTCATTCATTGTTGTTGTTTTTTAATTCTCGTTGATGCACACCTGATCAGATCCAATACACTGAAATTCTCTAGCTCGTGGGGACTGTAGGTATTTTCACCACACAATGTCCAAACCAAACCAAACATCGTTGGCGGCTCACGTTGAATAAATTTTTCGCAATCATATGTGAGTGCTGACAGTTCTAATTGCTTACTGATCGCTAAGAATGTGACCAAAACTTAACTGTACGTAACGTGGGTATTTTTAATACTCATTTTTCGCATATTCTCCGGTTTCCGGTTAACTCATTGTCCTTCCGATCGATGTCCTTGGATTATGGTAACGACTTATCACCCCGGCATCCTGTTTACTGCTTGAAACGGTGAACAGTTGCAATCAGTACCTTTGTGTTTTCCAACCACAGAGTTCACTTTATCGATTAGGATTCGTGCATCTAGGTCCTGTAGATTCAGTTTCCGTAACTCAAATCACCAGCTTACTAATATTGCTAATGACGGCTGTGTAAGCCCTAAAGTCCCCTGATAGGGTAGCTATGGAGCGGTAATTGGGAACCAGTCCTCCCCATATTCAGAGGTCGCTCTCTCTGAAGACGACCAGCAGAAACGCGACTCCGCCTTTGAGTGAGTTTCTACACACCCCTGTTCGTCTAGCGCTAAATGCAATATTGGTTAACAGCATCCGCCAAAACTGGATGTCTCCAAGTATGCAGCTGACATGAGGTGAAAATGTCGTCAACAGTACGCCGGAACACAGCACCGACGCTTCGATGCTACGCGACCACCAACAGACGCGCCAGGGCGCCCGCACCTATGCGGAATCGAACCGCTGACCGGATGACAAGGTCGACAACCAGCGAAGCACATACCTTGACAAATTTTAATTCAAACCCTTTTGTTCGGGACGGTGTATCGGTCAAAATTCATCAACTTCACGTCCCCACGACAACAACAGTGAAGCGCTACGACAGATGTCGGATTAACAGCCAGAAATAAAGATGCTGTATGCGCGAAACGCCGCACACCCTATCGACGCTTCGCTGCCACCAGCAGTCGCATGAGGACCGGTTATACCATGAGATCACCCGCGCACCTACGCGGATTTGAACCGGTATACTCCGGATCACAACGCAGGCCCGTTATCGTTTCGGGTCCCAGTCGAACGAACTACCGAAGTCTATTTGACTTGAAAACAGGCACTCTAATGAAGGCACCACCATGTGGCGAACTGCAACGTTGCCCGTTCAATTCTCCTACCACTATCTAAGTACATTTGGTCAGCAGTATGGTTGTTACGTTTCGGAAATCATGCTCCTCGTCACTTTCCTACTTCGTTTTGTTTGTGTGTCAATCTCTTGACTGATTTTCTGTTTCTCCCAGTTCATTCCTACCACCTGCTCCCCGCCCCCACTTAACTCGCCATTTCTCCAATTTACGATGTCGGTAACTACTGCGACCCAGCTAACTTTCAGTTTCACTTTTCAGGTCGCAGGCGAATCAGATGCTTTCGGCTCGATGACTCAAAGCGGCTCAACTGCTCCCCTCTCCACTCTCTCCTCTTGTTCCACGGTCAACGATCCGACCGAGACCATCTCTGTTGGCAGCAGGTCAAGTGATCCGACGTGTGAATTAAACAAATCCAGCGTCACATCAGCCACACGTACTCCAATCAGTTTGTTTGACCTGACCGCCAGTGGCCATATCCCCCCTGTGTCTCATGCCGCAGACTCTGACATCACCACATGCGTAGGTCCAATTCCAGGTTCCCGGCGTCTTCATCTACCGCACACCGGTCGCGTTGTGCAACGCAGAGCCAGTGTCCCATGTGTTCAAAATGGCGTGGTCAAATTTTCAGCCGAGTGCCCTCTTTCGCCTATCCTTGAAGCTACCAACCTCGCTTTAGATCCACTTTCCCGCGGCCCCACATTCAGCAATACACAATCGGCCAAACTGTGCGATCCGTGCTGTGTCGCCGCTCGCAACGAAGTCGAACGTCTACGCAAAGAAAATATGGATTTGCGCGTCAAGATGTCTGAATTGCAAGAGGCGAAAAACGCGGTGGAAGAGCGTCTACGAAACTTGGAGGACCGCGTGCAGCAGGTTGATTCGGTCGTTGAAACCCTGAAAGACGAAAAGGTAATTCACACTACCCTAGCGGGTCGTCATCGGTTATCGTCGTTTCCCAAACGTTCTTTCGTAGTTCACCCTCCGATTTCATACCGCGGTGCGAAACCTGTTTCACTCTTTTTCTCTGTTTTCGTGAATGGCTCAAGCATAATATATGGCTGTGAATACAATGATCTGGACCTCTCCTCTCACCCTTAGATTCTGCTTTTTCTGTATTGGCACACTATGTGTCGTGTCATACTCTGGGTTAGGCACCATCTCATGGTAAATGCTCTGATCTAAACAGCCTGGCAGTGTCTCCACATTGCAGTTAGTTGCTTCCTATGGCATCAATTTTTCAATCACCGCCGATTTTATTCTTTCGCGAAAGAGCAAATCCGCTAAAACAACCGGTTCGTTCGCTTCTATTGCTAATCCATTTTATTTATTTTACCTGGTTTCCGCTCTCATTTCGACTGTCCCACAGATGTGTTCCCACTGTTTTTAATTCACCCCGGGTTACATTACCATAGAGCCGTCAAGCGAACGAGCTGTTCTCTTGTTGGTCATTGAGGCAATTGTTTTTCACTTATTTTGAAAATCCTGACTCTTCACAAGAATCCACGTGATCTGATTGGAACATGCACCTTCACAGATTAGCCAGCATTATGTCCACTACGACAGGAATATTCCGCAACTCTAACTGAGTTGCCTACTTCTCACTGCTATACTGGTGAACATTCCGCTTCCGGCTTGAAGCGAACATAATGCGACTCGCAAAGATCTCATGACAAAATTGCGTGCTAGCCTAAAGAGAGACCGTGAAACTTGATGGTCTCATCGTGCGTCGAAGATGGAGACAGTGGCTGCTTTTGCTGACCATCGGAAGTTATTTCGTCTGATACGGAAAATGTGCAGCGGAAGACCTGATGTTAGCTAGACCATACTCGACGAGATTGGACAGCCGATCCACAACTTGTCGAAACGCTTGGAGCGTCGTGCCGAACACTTTGAGAAGCAGTTCAATCAGTCAGAGTTGTCGGCTTCTCCACCGGCCATTGATCGTCCTACTCCCCGGGGGGCCTTCCCCTAGATCCTCTCGTGCACAGAAATCAAACGTGAGATCAGACTGTTGTAATTGAATATGACCACAAGGGCATACAGAATTCCTCCAGCCCTCTTCAAATTCGCCGGACCTGCTCTTGTGGATGATTTACACGACTTAGTAGTGAAGCTGTGGGAGTGGGGAACTGTCTCAACAGACAGGGAGGCTCCCGTTCGGAATGCAGCAATCATAGAGGGATCAGCCTGATCTCATTTTCCTCTAAATTGCTTGTGTCTGTCGTTCTCCATCGACTGACCAGCACACGTGAAAGTCTGATTCGCGGGGAGCAAGCCGGGTTTCGTCGAGATAGGCTGCATCGAGCACACTTTACTTTACGTCAGTTGTTGGAGCACCATCATATTTATCGCTGATCCACCGTAGTCGTGTTTCTCGACATCAAAGGTTCCTTCAGTTCGGTGGATTGATGTGCCCTTAGGACTGTCTACAAAAGAAACGTGTGTCCGATAAATATGTAAGCATTGTCAAAGCGCTGTACGCGCATGGTTCAGGCAGAGTGAGGGTTTATGGCAAACTGTCGCAGCCCTACACTATCTCCAGCACTGTGAGACAAGTTTGCTCGTTGTTGCCTCTCCTCTTTGACTTTGCTATTGACGAAGTCATGTAAGCATCGTTTGCCAGACACGGCTTAGAAGGTGTGGACTTGCTTCCTGGTGAGCGATTTCTTGACTTGGAGTATGCGGACGACATTGCTCTCATATGTGGCAGCGCCCAAACCTGCCAATCAGTACTGGACAGGTTGGCACCACTTGTCAATTGTTTTGGGCTATGCTTTGCTCCCTCGAAATGCAAAGTCCTTCTCCAAGATTACCAAGCACCCACCCCTGTGCTGACACTTAGTGGTGATCACCTAGAAGTCGTTCAGGACTTCAAGTACCTTGGCAGTTACATTAGCGCCCGTGAGATCAAAGATGAGGTTACAAACCATATAGCAAAAGCTCGAAGTGCTTTTACCAACCTTTGCTACCGTCGACGCAACTTCACTCTGGCGGTGAAGGTCAGAGTTTGTAACGCAGCCGTCCGTTCAACCCTCCTTTGCGATTGCGAAACCTGTCCCATCAGCTCGACAAACATAAAGAGGTTAGCTACGTTCGGTCATCGCTATCTTCGTAGATTAGGCGATGTCTAGCGGGAAAACCGCATGAACGTGTTCGGCGTCGTGTATTTGTTTCAGGAAGAGCGAGTGAACCGCTCAGCACCATTATATCATGCACAAGGTTCGATGAAAGGGCCACGTGTTGCGCATGCCGGCACAACGACTCCCGCGACGTGCGTTGTTTGCGCGCCGGGGTTGCGGTTGGAAGAGGAGGAGGGGAGGTCAAGCAATGGCTTGGTCAAGGGGAACGTAGGCTCTCACTTCAAAGTTGGCGTCGGTTGGTGTGTCCCAACTTCCGGGCTGGGGTCCTGAGGACCATGAACACGTTTGCTTGGACACACTTGCTGACATGGCTAGGAGCCAGCCGCACTGGCGTTTGTGTTGTGTGTTTCTTTGTCCATCCTCTTCTTTAGATTCTCCCTCCAATCACGATCTCAGAGCAAATGATTGATATGATATTTTACATTATATTATCTGTTATTTTAAATTTTTGTAGTGTAATTTTTAGTATCTTATTTTTTTGAATTGCGGTACATTAGCTGGGGTGTGTCTCTCACCCCGTCTAACGTGTATTGATGCTAATGATGCTTCGAGCTACAGACTGGTACAATGTTTCCAAATTGTTTGCGTTTCACCGTTCTTGCGCCTCGCATGTGTGTCCTTCACCCCCTCCTGGTACTGTGTGTAGTCGTACTCGTCGATCCGTTCACCAATTAATCAGTTGTTTTTCTCAGTCGCATTTTCTTTCGCGATGGTTCAGGTTACGTTAACTGAATCGAGCCCAAAGTTTGTCTTTCGAGTACGCTTCGTGTGGGGTTGGATTACGATACACCTTCTCTTTTGAGACCTTGTATTTTGAAATGACCTCGGTCAATCCGATCGCTGAGACCTGGTGAGTCTAGCTGAGGACGAAACCATCGGTCGTGGAGTGCGGTGTTTCGAGCCAGCTACACGGAAAACACTCTGTTGGAATCTAATCCACTTCGACGCTTGCCTCAAAACGGATGAACTGCGCCTAACCGCCCCTTGGAGGCGTGCTTGCATTTGACGATTGTTCGTTGACTTAGTGATTTAGACACCACTTGCCCCTGTTACCGCGTACCGTTCTGTTGACTGTGCCCATGTGTCTGGGTTCGCTGGCCCGCCTAGCCTGACATTCATGTTGCCATGGTGTGGAGCAATTACTGATGGAAATTCGAGCAAATCCCATAGCAACGAAAGTGGTGATTTACCTGTGCCAATTTGTTTGACGCCATACGATTAGACCCCATATAACGCTCGCCACAGCTCAGTACGATTCGGTTACTCCCGTTTGATTCATGCCGGAAGTTTGTCTACTAAGTCTCCACATCACCCTGACAACATTTTTGCGGATGCGAATGAAACGCAGGTGAGCTTACAGATAAACATGCTGCTTAATGGGAAAGCTAAAAAAACTTTTGTTCTTATGTGTAGTAGGATTTGATGAAATCTCTTTAGCTCAACGCGATTAGATTACAAGCCAGATAGACCAATCACCAATCTGGAAAAGCATTAGACGATCGTTTCGTCCCATTGGGACTCGTCAGTGGTGCGCATTCCCTCAGGGAAGCGAATCCATGATCTTTAGTGGCTCGCACCACCTGCCAGCAGCTTATCGCACTTCGCTGTGTGGGATGATAGTTTGCCATCATGGAATATATATATATATATATATATATATATATATATATATATATATATATATATATATATATATAGCATCAGCCATAGAGCCCTCAAAAACCGTAGAAATCAAAGTAAGGTGCAGTTGTCATAAAAAGAAAACCGAATATAGCGCAGAGAAATCCATGGTTTCGTCAGAGGGCAAGTCCAAGCGGAAGTAGGATGTTGACCTAGGGGACACCACCCCGAGCCTTTGGCCACATAGCCCACCCGCGAGGCAGCGGGGCAAATTCACGAAACCACACCCATTGGGAGCCGGTGACTGATTGCCCAGTTCATACGCCTTTCGTTTGGTCGATTGACAAACAGAAGCCAAATTCCCCCCACAATTTCAGCTTCGCGTTACTGGAATACAGTGCCCCGCCAGAGGGAAGCAAAGGGCAGTTACTTTATTTAGTAGCGTGGCACATCCGCCACGTTACATTGTTGTTAAACTGACGTGAGACTTTTATGGGGAGAACGCTTGTCAGTCGAAAATCCACTACGTCCTGGAACACTGCCGCTGAACTGTTTGCTGGTAGCATACTCCAGAAATCTATCACTCTATGTGACAAACGAGTGTTAACCCGAACCCGATCAGATCGAAATTTGTGCAACTTCAAGTGATACATATGAGAAGTAGGTAACTGAGCAGGATGAAAAAGCCAGAATAGATCTGGGCCTATCCGCCCTGTTAGTATACGCTAATTGAGAACTAACTCGCCACGAAGACGACAACAGGATAGCGAGAACATCCTTAGCTTGAGTAGTTTGTCAGGGTAGGGCAGGTGCCGCAGCTTTCGGACCATGGATTGAAATCAAACTGCGATATAGCCTGACTCATCCTCCACTGCCATGTGGGTTCTCACCTTTGCAGACAGTGTCGGCCCTGAGGTGCCAGGGCTTCCCTACCAGTAACCGTGAATCCATACCTTTTTGAAGACTTCTGGGGATAATTTTTGACTACTCATGAAGAACCTAGCAGCAAGAAGCTGGAGTATTGTTAAGTTTCATGACAAATAGGGCCATCTCTTTCAGTCTATTTCATCCTGCTTCCCTCCCCTACAGACTTGTCTCCGGTACCTTACCCCGTACAGATATATCATCTGTAAACAATGCACTTCAGAG